CCCCTAATAGTGGGGCCGCCTCCTGAGAAGCCGCCTGCAATGGTGTAGACGACTGCATCATCTGTATCGGAGTTGTCAGCCTGTTGATTCTTTTTGGCCGACAGCTTTTTTGAGGAAGTGTTCCCCGTAGATTTCTTGACATAAGTGTCAAGATCACCTTGCTCGGTCAGGCGGTCCAGATACCGCATGAGACTGATGCAGTCATTGGTGTGATGACCAACATCATCATGATAAGCACAGAATTTATCTTGGTTCCGGTTGTTTGCAGAACCCTTCATGGGGACCGGCTTCTCAATTGAGATCCGTCCCTTGATTTCTTTTAGGATAAACTGGTTATCCTTGTTAAACGCATACTTTGGGGAGTATGGTTTGAATTCTTTTTTCTTTTTCTGGGCCGGCTGTTTAGAGGAATCAGCCGCCCAGACCTCTTTTCTCTTCTCATCTTTGTTTGACGACTGTTTCTGTCGTCCTTCTCTTTTGTCGAACCTTTTCCCGTCCGACTGTTTTACCGTGCAAAGATCAGTCGCCTGTATATAGGCTTCTGCTTCAATCAAGGCCTCTTGAAGAGTCGCCACCCTTTTTCGAACCAAATCAAATTTGAAGGTAGACCCGTCTTTGAGACCTCTGAAAAAGTCAGTATAGGCTACCTCATCCGGTAACCCTTGAATCTGTATTCTCATCAGGTTAAACCGCCTGATGTAAGAACGAAGCCCCTCCTTCTCGCCCTGCTGAATTGTTCCTAAATCAAGGGTCGTTTTCTTCGCAGGGATGTTCATGGCGAAGTTGGAGGTGAACAAGTAAGCAAGCGTCCTGAAGCTATTTACACAACCAGTCGGCAGGTTGCCGAACCATTGTTATGCGATTCCTTTGAGAGTCGCTGGGAAACACTTGCACCAAGTGGGATCATCCAACCCTTGAAGGTACATCAGGTTGGTGAATGCCATCAGATGGTCTTCTGGGTTAGTAGTGCCGTCATAGGCGCCTACTAGTACATTTTTCACTTTGGCCGGCTGAGCGGCTTCAGTAATTTCCTTGGAGAAGGCCGACGGATGTTCACCAAGTCTAAGCAACCGTAGCTGCCAGTCCATAGGTTGGACGTTTTTTGCTGCAGGTCCACCAAACGGAGGTGGCTGCAAAAAATACTGTTGTTGCGACACAAATGGTAAGTTTGGTACCGCCTGGTCGCTATGAAAGCCGGACTGACGGGAGGTACCGCCTGACTGACTCTCATGATACGACTGAGTATGCCTCATCGAGGCATTTCGCAGACTGTCATGAAAGTTTGAAGTAGAGGCCGACTCTGACAATCGGTCACTTTTCTTCTGCTCTAGCAGTAGCCGAGCGTCTGTGAATGTTTGCTTCGACCCGTCCGCCTGAATATGACGAACAGGTTTCCTATTTCCTGTAGGAAAACGAAATTTTGTGAAATCAAGGGCAGGTGGCTCCCGCTTCCTAGATTTAGGATGAGGAGTCGCCTCTCGCCCTTGAACTGGCTTCCTCTTCAGTGAAGTGGAGGGTTTCTTAGCCGACTGCTCCTTGACTGGAGCAGGCGGCTTCTTGTTGATCAACTCTTGAATCTCTCCCTTGAAGTTCCTCATGAAGGTCATGAGTTCGTTCCTTGTGATGGGAGCAGACCCATCAGTCGGCTGTTGCCGAACAGGCGGTGCGCCTGCTGGCTCACTTCCAGTTTGAAGATGTTCCCGTTCCCTCCTTTCGGTATGACGGGTACGTCGGGCCCTTAGGGTCCCGTCTGAAGCTGTGTGAGCTTCAACTTCAAATTCACTCTCGGTATCATGGTCCGACTGAACTTGAGGGTCGTCTAGGGGACGCCTCTCTTCAGGAGTCGGTACAGACTTGGATGCCATCTCAGAAGTACTCTCCCCACAGACGGCGCCAAATGTTTCGGGGTTTTCTGATGTCCTGCGGGAGAGTTACAATTCCGAGACTGGAACCGGACGCCTGTACCTGCAAAATAACGGAGACTCCTGGTGGTGGGAGCTCCGCCTCCAACGGTCAAGTTAGTACTTGATTAAGGAGTAATTAATGCGGAAATTAAAGTGATTGGGTCTCTCTAGGTGAGAGTGTTTAATGTAGGTAATTTGCTTTTTTAGCGAGATCAGCCGGTTATTACTGTGTGTAATTAATGTGTTTTTTCGTAATCCCCCTTAATGAGGATTAAGGGAGGTATTTATAACCTGCCTAGGTTTAGGTTAACCTAGGGCCGATTGGGCTTCCCTCGGAAGTTGGGCCTGGGTGGCCGGTTTCTCCATTAGGCATGGAGTTTGCCACATGTCATGACATAATAGGTCCAAGGTGGACGAATAAGCGCGTGCCACGTGGCAAGCCCTGACAGTTCCAACTGGGGGACACTTGGCAGGACCTGATTGGCCCACGTGGCGCATTCCGATTGGTGGGAGCAAAATCCCCTAATCAAATAGTACTAAGTTGAGGTACATCAGAATTTGTATGAAAAGAACAACTTGGCAAATCCTTAGCTGATTTATTCACAGAAAGACAAGCAACACTACTGAATTTGTATAAACCACCAATCTTGATGCCAACAGCTTTAACTTGACTAGTTGTAGAGTCCTGAAAAATATAAGAATCTTGCTTAAAAATGGCAACCAGATTATTTTGTTCTAAAAGCTTTCCCACGGAAAGCAAATTATGCCTAAAATCAGGTATCAACGGAACATTCCTTAGAACAATCCCAGGACATAACTCCACAGTTCCCATGTAATTCACCAATTTAACATGACCATCAGGTAGACCAACAGAAACAGGTTTCAGTAATTTAGTATATGAATCAAGCAAACATTTATCACAAACCATATGATCAGTAGCACCGGAATCAACAATCCAATCTGATTTACCAAAACAACTCAGAGTAGAATGAACGCTTGATGCAGAAATTATACCTGCAAAATTCAAAGAAGCATCCAAGCCATCTGAATGAAGACCTTGCTTGCCTTTTATCATCTTCATCATCTCCTTGCATACAACATTCACCAAGGAAGAATCCACAGCAGTATCACTGACCTTAGGCTCAGAATCATCAAACTCAAGAGGATTATCAGGTTGAGAAGAAACCTCAGATACATTAGCAGCCAGCTTAGGAGCAGAACCAGATTGCTTGTTTCTCATGGAAACAAACCATTCAGGATAACCATATAACTTGAAACACTGATCAACAGTATGACCAGGTCTCTTGCAATGCTCACATTTCCTATCAAACTTATCTGTCTTAAAACGTTTTGCATCTCTCTTTACATTATTCTGACTAGAAAATGAAGGCTGATGATTCTGCTTGAAAGAAACAAACGCACTAGTCTGAACTGATAAATCAGGTTTATCATTCAATTTGTGCTATCTCTCAATCTGAAGCAACATATAATACGCTCTATTCACATTTGGCAAAGGATCCATACTAATGATATTAGTTTTAGCATTATCATAATTTTGATTCAAACCAACAAGAAATTGAATCAGTTTCTGCTTCTGATCAGCAACAAGAATTTTCTTCAGAATTCCATAAGTACATGATGTACACATTCTATACCATATTTTACCCTCATTTTATAGCTATGTTCGTATGATTTTTAAGCTCTACGGAGCTATTTCTCGCTAATATCCTCCTCTCTAGTGTGGCTTGGTCTATTTGATTGATTTTGTAGGCATATGAAGATTTCCGGATGATTTGAACTTGTTTTAGATAGCCACGAAAGCTTATTAAGATGGAGGAGAATTTTACCCGTGTCCGCCCTGGAGGGCAACATTGCCCTGGCAGCCAGGGCGAAGAAGGAAAAGAAGAGAAGTCATGAGAAAGAATGGAAGAGTTCAACTTCCATCCGCCCGGACCGGGCGACATTGCCCTGGCAGACCGGGCGGACAAAAGCACTGCATATGAAAGATTTCTTGAAGGCGTAAGGTCGTTTTTGCTTCTCGCGCCCGACCGGGCGGAGTGTCGATGACCGCATTTTCCTATTTTTTCGGGTTTTCTTAATTAAAGGATATAAATACCCTTAGTAAAGCCCGACTAAAACATACTTAGTTATTATATTCTAGCTTTTAAACCTTCATTAGAACCCTAATATTCTCTCTAGATCTAGATTACATTTCACCTTCCAAGTTTTAATCTTTATTCATCAACAATTGGTACTTTTCTTCATTCAAGCAATTGGTATTCATCTTTATTTCTTCTTTTACTTTTAATTACTTATTAATCATGTTTTCTTCATTGATTATTGTTTTTGTTTTCGTTAATATGTGTGAGTAGTTTCTTTATTCCAAGATCTAGCGGATCCCGAATATGATAAATGCATGATTTAATTCTTTAAATTCTCTAATAATAATTGTAATTGATATGCTTAATTGATTATGCTTATGCCAATACTAGATTAGGGATAATTGGTATTGTTATTAATCCTTTGTTTTAATCGCAACGGGAGTTGGGTTTTAACGGATTTGAATAAATCAATTAAGGGTTTGAAGTTCATCACGGGAGTAGTTGAATGGATGATTAGGAAGTTAGAGTAATGTGCTTAAGGTCTTTAACTTACATGATTCCACGAAAGTAGGCTTGATTGTGATTAGAGAAGCCATTGATAACTCGGGAGAGACCATTGGTATTATTCATGGATTACTTTTCCTCATTAATCAATTGAATTATGTGTTAGGGGTAGAATGACTATTGCATTAATCGTATTCGTGGTGATGCTTGATCTTGGATGTTTTTAGCATTGATTTGTCATATTGTTTTGATTTAATCGTTTTAATTAGTTCTTTAGTTATTGATTCTCACTTATTTGAATTGGTTACTTGCTTAGTAATTGCTTGAGTATATTTAAATTAGTTGAACCATAGTCTCTTGGGATCCGACCCTTGCTTGCCCGTCTACATAGTAGTGGTCTAGTTAGGTTTATTTTTGTTAGGTACGCGACACGCCTATCAGTACACTTAGCTAATGCACCACAATCACAATCAGGAAAACCTTTTAACAATTAAATCTCATCCCAAACTCTTTTCAATTTAGAGTAATATTGAACAATCGAATCAGAATCTCGTTCAATAGACATCAATTTCTTATGTAAATCAAACAATTGAGGTGCATTAGATTGACCATACCTCTCCACAATTTCTTCATACAACTGATGAGCAGATTGTTGAAGTAGAAAACCTTCAGAAATGATTTTCTCCATCGAATTGAGCAACCAGGATTGAACCATGTAATCATTATGAATCCACTTCTGAAGATCCTCAGAATCTGGTGCAGGCCTTCTACAACTTCCATCAATGAAGCATAGTTTGTTCTTAACACCAAGCGCAAGACGAATCGAGCGATTCCAGGTAAGAAAATTATCGTCATTGAACTTATGACCTCCGAGCTGTTGATCAGGTTGATCACCAGTACCGAGGAAAAACTTATCAGTATATCTAGAAATCGATGAATTTCCAGATTGAGCAACCATTAATGAATGAGAGAAGAACAATCGAAGAATCAGGTTCAATCGATCGTAGAAAATCAAGAAAAATTCAGTGAAAAACACCGAATAATAGCTCAATTTGATCAGTAAATCGATAAAAAAACAAGCTAGAAATCCAAAAAAATCGAAGAAATCAAAGATAAAAAATGTTTACTGTAGCTCTGATACCATATGAAGTTGATTCAGTAACTAGAATCAGATGAACAAGAGAGAGAAAGTAAGAAATAGAGAGAGAAAGTTTGGGAATTAATTTGTTATTGAATTATGAAGTCAGAGCATTAATTACAGAAGAAGAAAGCTTATATACAACGAATCTTCTAACAACTAACTTGCCAGCTAGGATTAATTAGTTACAGGCCTAAAATGGGTTTGTTATTCTAACAACCCATATATATTATCAGATTACTAACAAAGATCGAAGAGAAGTAATTAAAGAAGATACTGATAAGAACGTGATTTTTTTTTGTCATTTTTTTAAAAATATAAAAATAAAAATAAATCATATCAAAGATTTACATTAATCCATAAAAATGAACGCTCGTGATTTGATTTAATACAATGACCTACAAAAGTTGCCTTAGGTAACACCAAATGGTATCACTTTGAAGGTTAGAACCTTAACTAATTCATAAGTAACACTTTTGTAACACTTTGATATCATGTAACACTTGATGGGAACACTTTGATATCTAGTATCACTTGATTGTAACATTTTGATATTTAGTAACACTTTATTGTAACACTTTGATAATTTGATATTAAGTAGCACTTTATTGTAACACTTTAATTTTTGGTACCAGTTAGTCATATATAAATTTTAAATTAGGAATAATCATTTGACCGTATTACTATTATATACTTCGCATAATATTAACAGTTTAATTGTAAGCTTTACTTGTAATTAATATTTTACAACTACTAGTAGAAAAACACAAATGGATACCAAATCTAGAATTAAAAAGCCACCTTAAAAGGGTTCCAACCCGTACCTTGTAGGTTATGGACACTGGTTTTTACCAAGTATCCCCAAAATAATTAGAAGACTCCACCCGTATCCCTCTTTTATCTCTCTAAGTCTTGACTCCACCATAGGCCTGGCCACTCTATCGCTCTCTCTCTCTCTCTCTCTTCTCCCTCCTCATTCACAAGTGGCGGCGATGGTGGTGGCGATAGTGAAGGTGGTCACGAGCGATAACGATGGTGCTTCGAATTCAAGGGTTTCAATTGGTCGTCATGGTATGATTTTCTTCAAACTTTCCCCTTTAAATTCCAAATTTTGGGCTCTTTTATATAATTACTAGTTCAAATCTTAGGTTTTGTTAAATAAAGGTGTAGATCCTAAGTGTGGTCTTACCTATGTTTTCCAGAAGTCTGGTGGTGAAACTGGTGATTGATTTAGAGTTTCAAAGAATTTGAGGGGTTTTTATTACTTTTCTCATTAGCGGTTTTAATCGATTTTTGATAGATTAGTATTTGGATATTTACTTTTTATCGTCAAACTTATGATTTGTTGATTATTGATTACTATCACAAGATTAAGTAATTTCTAGTTAGTTTTACAAGGGTTTATATAGATCAGCTTTTTTAATAGTTAACAGCATTGAAATTTTGTGAATTCTGCTTGGTTTGAGGTGCTTAATCCCATCCTGTTGTCTATCCTATTCTGGCATGAGGAGAAATTAATTCAAAATGGCTATATGATTGCAAAATTAGACATTTCCATGATTGCAAAGTTAGGGGATTCAAAATGGCATGTTTTTTCTATTTTTGTTTAATCACATGTTTTTAAGGATAGTAATGGTAATTGGTAAGTTCCATGGAATAATTGTAGGTGCATGGAGAAGATGAATGGTCGTTTGGGTATTGTGAACAAGGAACTGGAGTCTTTAGCTGCCCTGCTACAAAAAACCCCATGTATACATACCATGAAAAAATTGTTCTTGGACAAACCAACCTTTCTGTCTCCAAGGTTAATCAGATCTTGAGGGAACTGAGTTAGAGAGTGGCTAGGGGAATCCTATGATTTGCTCGCACGAAATTGCAATCACTTCTGTGATGATTTATGTGAAAGGTTTGGTGTTCCAAAACTTCCAGGTATAGTATAGTATCATTGCTACCTTGCTTTAATTATAACTAATTGTAATTAATTTAATAGCCCTTGTGTTGATTGCATTTATTACTGTCACGAGTTGACTTTTACATTCATAAGATTGTGCTCTTTTGGTATGTGATCACCGAATTGAGCTGAGGCTCCAAATCTGTACTTTAGAGCTATATTAATATTTTACCATTTTTTAATGTAGTGCATTAAATTATCTGGCATCATATAATGATAACATCAAGAGGTGCATTTCCGATGTCAGATTAACTTTTGCATGCTAGTAGCAATCTATATTTACGCTGGTTGGCACAATGATCTATTCGCTAAGCAAATTAGCTATTGTTATAGCCCTTCCAAATTGTAAGTGTGCAAGTTGCCGCGAGACTTGAACAAATAAAGATATCATGTCATACATGTTTCTAACTTCAATAAATGTGTCTTCCATCACACACATTGCAGCTATGCAAGATTAATAAAGCAAAGTGTGAGATAAATTAATCTTTCTAATAGTCTAAGTCTGAGGTATACACGCAATTCCAAACACAACATATATGCAAAAAGCTTTATTAATATTTGCATTGCATGTATATGAGTATTAGAGAATTATCTCATCAGACTTGATTATTAGCTGACCAGATAGACTAAGATTGCTTTCGGTTGAGTGAAACTTATTTTTCTTATTTGTCTTTGGTTAAGACCATATTAAACTATATAAACCTTTTTGCCTTTGTAAATTTGGTAATTTGAATTGGTTCAGGACTCTTGGATATTTTGACATTGATTCCCATTGCTTCTAGATAAGAGTGCAAGGAATTAGGTGATATATGACTTTGATATATTTACCATGCATTCTTGCTTGAAATGAACTAATTGCAGTGCTTCAAGTAGCTGAAATAGTTAAGTAGTTTTACGGAAATTGAAAACATTGTAAGCTTCAGTATGGCATGATCCTAAATGTAATTATTGTTCTTATACATAATATTGATGTTGCGATCATCTCTGATTTTATTGTTGTTTATATCATCTTTTAGTTTCTGGCAGCCATAGCGCAGTCGTTGTATGTAGGATTTTGAATACTTTAAGCTTGAACAGCCTAACTTAGTTTATATTGACATGAACACAGGCTAATTTACAAAATGAAAATACCTCAACCCCACCACCTGTTGTACTTATAGTCTCATATTCATTCTGCAGTCTTGTGTGTTCTTCTTTGTAGGAAGCAAGATCTAGATGGGAGATTATAGAGCAGTCTCCCATGTATACAACAAATTTTCATCCTTCATATGATCAGCTTATTTTTACAATGAGCAAGGCAATTGTATATTTTAATGACATGAGCTAAACATAGTATTTATGACATTAGTAACATAACACCTGTAGCAATAGCACACCAGTCTCATTATTTCAGTTAAGATACATGTCTGACATAGATCAACAAACCGATAGTAGCAACTTATAGCTGCTAGTCTGCCTATGCTAGGTTTCTAGCTCATGTCTTCTTAGTTTCGCCTCTGAACTAGATCCCCCTCCCCTTCCATTTCTGATCACACATCCACCACCCTTAATAGAAAATAAATTATGATCATTTTCCTCATGTATACTCTAGAGAACAAGAGAAAAATGAGGTAATGGTTAATACATTATCTTTTACAAAGCACTAACTCATATTATTATGTTATTTCATTTTTGTTCTAGTTGTCTGATGTATGATGCTTTCACACATACATAGGATCAAAAGGATCAAGATGAAGGATTGCTTCGGAAAGTGATGATGCCACAAGAAGCGTGCTTACATATACAAGATCGAGATAAACTTTTTTTCTTTTACTCCCGGGAGTGAAAACTTTGGAGCTTTCGGCTAACTATAACCGCTGCTGCTGTCACGTACTATTATTGGCTTACTGCTGTATTGCTGCTACTATTGCTTACTGCCGGTTTTGGCTGCTATTGTTGTTTGCTGCCACTGGTGGCTACTACTACTGTTTGCTGCCACTATTGGCTGCTACTGCTGTTTGCTGCCACTGCTATCTGCTATTGTTGTTTGCTGCGACATACTGCCGTCTGCTGGTATATATTGATATCCGATTTGTAGGTACTATTATTGGTGCTGTCGTTCTGCCACTTAGCTTTTGCTATCATACTGCTATCGCGTTGACTATTTTTGGAAAATTTGGAGCTTTTTCTTATTTCGTCCCTTTTTCCAAGCTAGAAACCAAAGCTGTCTTTCTTTTGTTTTGATTATTATATTGTTTGACCAAACATAAAATTGGTGTTTATGGATAATTTTTTGTAAGAATTATGAAATTATTTCAATTCAAATTATTGTTTATCATATACGTTAATTTCTCATTCATGGTTATGTTGTTGTACAAATTTATATTATGTATTATTTTTAAACAACAACAATAAAAACAACAACAACAATAAAAAAAAAATTGTTACATTTGTTTGCAAAAAAAAAAAAGTTTGAAAAAAGTGATACATAATGTCGAATAAAGTGCTACCATATGTCTCAAAAAATGATTAAAAAATGTTACCTAATATTCAATAAGGTGTTACATTAGTTCAAAAAGTGATACATAATGTCGGATTAAGTGCTACTATATGATTGAAAAATGTTACAAAAGATAAATAAGTGTTACCTAAGAAATAAAACGTAACACTTGAAAAATGTACTAATAATATAAAAAGCGTTACATAAGAGGGTTTATAGTAGCACTTTTGAAAGTGTTACCATACGTCACCCAAAGTGTTACATAACACCTTAAGTAACATGGGCGGAAGTATCACCCAATAAAATGTTACCTATTGTCTATAATAACACTTTTACCACTTTATGTAACATTTTTTGGGTGTTACTTAAGGTTAGTTTTGTACTAGTGGCAATTTTATTATGGCCACTTGAAAACTATCCACATGGTTAAAGCTAGACTTGGTCTGTCAACCAAATTAAAGAAAAATCGAATTGGTGAATAAATATTTAATCAACAAAACGAATTTACAAAAATTAATTGGTAAATGAAAATATATATAAAAAAATTTGTAATAAGCGAAAATTATATTTCTTATAACACAACGTCACAACCTAAGTACCAAACTCATGAATTTGTGATGCGACAATCAACAAAAAAACACGTAATTTTCAACTTAATTTGACGTTTTGAATTTCATTTTCACAATCTCTTGTCATCTAAATTTAACTTGTTGGAACGTATCATCGATGTGAACTAGAATTAATGAAACTTATACATACAAACTTTTGAACTTATCTCTTTCAACTCTGATCTCCTTTAATCGTCTCAAAGTGTCAACTATAATCACATTGCGTGGCCATAAAAGGGCAACAACACCAAGGATGAAAATTTAAATGATTATCTCATTATAGAAAGATATTTGATTATGTGACAACGACAAATATAATTGAATATACATTTAATTTTAAAAATTTATATCAATATTTAACACCTAATACCCGTCTCTCTACTTTGTTCTCTTCTTAAAAATGTGTATTGCCCTAGTTGCTACTCCACATGTTACCAACAATCCTTATGGTATTAATTAAAACATAATGAATACTAGTATAATAACTTGTGCTTATCGAAGTCACATCGTCCACCTTTTATTCCAAGGAAGAGGTTGGGAGTTGAGAGGTGGAAGGGAGAATAATTAAATGATTAAATCAAATCAAGTTACGCTGTAATTTTTTTTAAAAAATGGTCCAATACATATGGAATATAATATCAAATCAAGTTACGCCTGGCCTGTACTTAGGAAAACAGTCCAAAAATACATTGTTCTCATCACAACATCCACTTGATACAAAACCTAGTAATCTTACAGTCAAACGTTACTCGTATTTTGTGTATAGTATGTAAAATTACTAAGATTTTAGTGTATCTCCATGTATTCGTACTTGATTTCACATCACCATCAAGCAACCACTTCCAAATTTCCAACTCTTCTAAGCACTTTATTGCTACATTTGAGGTACATATGGTGAAATAATTACTGTTTCGGTTGAAAACAATGGGACCTTGCCGAAGGTCCGCTGAAGTGGAGAAAACTGGATTCGGTCCAAGTTGTGTTGGGCCGAAGGTTTCCTGCACAGTGAACACACGTAAACTAGCCTCGGGGGTGTTTCCGAGGAAGGCCCCTCCGATGCTAAAGTCAGTACAATGTGTAAAAGGAAGACACTATGCAAGAGAGTTTGTAGCTTGAGGCTTTTGTGGAATATTCCTGAATGCAAGAATGAGCATATGAAATGGAATATCAATGTATATGTGATGTCCCCTTGAATGTGTTAATATGATGGCTTTTATACCTTGTCATACTTGGAGAGGTTGGGCTTTAGCCCAATTGGCTTACTTTGTGGGCTGACTTTTGACTTTTGAGCAATTGGAGAGTTGAACCTTGACCTTGGGCTTTTAATTGGATCATTTAGTGCTCCGGCCCAATTTTGACTAAATTGGACCCAAACAACTTGCCCCCCAGACCCGATTTGGAAGAATGACGGGTCGGGTTTGATTTAACTCAGAAAAGGAGGGAAGTAAATGATTTAATTGATCCAAAAATTTGAATTTAAACCGTAATTAATGAGATAACAACGGTTAATGATTTGCGGAAGTTGGACGGATAATGGGCAGTTTAATCACAAGACATGTGTTTAATGGTTACTTAGTGGGTACTTAAGAGAAATTAAAGCACAGACTCTTCGTATCCCGTACCTGGAGATATAAACAGAGGCGCGTCATTCTCCTCACTTATTCACCAACACGAACCCAGAATTCTTCGAGAGAGAAACCAAGAACCCGCATCAAAACTTCGCAAATTCCCCGAGCATTGAGCTTAGAAACTGAGACTTGCCACTACGAACTCGTAAATCGGCAACTTTCGCTTCAGATTAAGGTAAATTCCTTTGATTTCAGTTTATTTTTCTTCGAATTCGAACTCCTTCCCCTTTTCTTTCGACTTTTCTCTTCGAAATAATCCATGGCAAGAGGAGTTAGAGGTAGAGCCCGTGCTCCAAGAAGAGCAAGGCTGATTCCCGATCCTAGGAACAGGATTGGGACCTGGAATGGTCAAAGGCCGGAGTCTGACCCTGCTGAAGGGATTAGGGCGACTCCCCTTTCCTCGGCTCCTCCTCAAAGAACGGATGAGCCGAGTGCTTCTGGACGGGATGATGAAATTCCCGCTGTCCTTTGGGATATCCTCCCTGGGTTTTCAGAGTGGGAGAATGCCGAAGTCGCTTCGGCCATGATAAAGAACCGCCCCTACTCATGGTGGGTAGAGAACGCCGATCAATATCGATTTGCCGAGCAGATTGAGTTGCACTACGGCATTTTTGAAGCTGATGGATATTGGTGCCGAATGCCCTCAGCATCCGATAGAATCCATCGTCCACCCCCGGGGTATGTGGGGGTGTACACGAGACAGCTTCAGTATGGGCTGAGGTTCCCTTTGGACGTTTTCGTCCGAGACTTGCTGATCCATTACAACATTTCCCTATGTCAGCTAACCCCCACCAGCATCCGAAGGGTGATGACATACTTATGGGTCTGCAAGTTCTTCAAATACGTGCCGAACCTGCACTGCTTCAGAAAGCTCCATCGGCTAGTGCCAAATATTCAGAGTGGGCACGGAAGCCATGGTTCTGGGTGGTATCGGATTGAGTCCCGGCCCCAATACTTGACCATGTGGCCAAATGACTCTTCAGACAAGGACTGGAGAGGTCAATGGATTTGGGTTAGGGCACCCACAGATCCGGGCCACCCTTGCGTCTTCAGCGCTCCCCGGTACTTAGCTGAGCCTGATCCCGAAATGGGAAGTCTAGGTCCCCCCGCAGATAACGGGGCGGATCCGAACCTGGATCAGCAACATATCTTCGGCAAGCTGCCGAACCCGGGGGGGAGTGGTCGAATGCAGCATATCCCGGAGACTTGGCTCCCCGATACGCATTACGTTTTCCAAGAGAATATGCTAGCAGCTGTTGGCCTCAGCCGAAAGTTTAAGGATGGTAAGCTTCTTCGGCTGGGGCCGAGGCTTTTAACTACCTCTTTTTCTTCTCTCGCTTTGCTTTTTTATGCTGTGCCAACATATCTGAGCTAAACTTTTTCCCTTTCCTTTTTTCAGAGCGGGACGAGACCAACGTTGGTATTAACTACGCTCGTCTTGGTGTTAACCGAGAGCGAGTTGTAACTGAACGGGCCCCGTCTATCACTGAGCCGAGGCATAGGGAAGTTCATCTGGATTCTTCCCACTTCCAAATTGAGGCTGTTGCTCTGTATCAGAGGCAGAAGCCTTGGTGGAAGAAGAGAGACCCTTGGTTTCAGCTGCTGAACGAAGAAGCTGAAGCTGCCCGCACAGCCGAAGAGGTTGCACGGGTACTTGAGGCTTGCGAAGGAGGAGAGGGGTCCTCCAGAGCTGCTGAAGCCGAAGCTGCAGCTAGAGCAGCTGAAGAAGACGAGGCTTTGCTGAAAACCTCGGTGAGCTTTCAGAAAACTTTTCTTTTCTTTTTTTTTTTTTTTTTTTTTTTTTTTACTCACACTCTTCTTCCCCCCTGTCTGTTACAGTCTGAAGAGAGTAACAGACACAGAGAAGGCAAAGCTCCTGTTCGTCCCGAAGATCAAATACAAGAGTCTTCAGACTCAGATATGGACGAGCAGCCCCTTCTGAAAAGGCGCCGAAGGATGGCCATCATCGGCCCTCATGACTTTCAGCAGAGGCCGATGACCATCGGCGTCGCAATAAGGGAACCTGAGGAAGGCAATGGATCGCCGAGGGTTCCCCAGCCAACACCCCAATCTCCTCAAAAGACCCCTCCGCCACCTCCTGAGATGGAGGTGGATCAGAGAACTCCCGAACCTAAGGGAGGGGTCCAAGAAGAAATCAAGAAGAGTGCTGCTGAGCACGAAAATAAAGATGCCGTGATGTCCAGTGCTGAGGGCTTCACGGCAGATATCGCAAGAGAGGTTGAGGCTTTCGTCCTCACCCCTGAAGAAGAGGAGGTCATAGTAATTGACTCCTCTGAGAAGGACGATGCTGAGGCAACCAAAGCTAATCAAGCTCCATCGTCGTCCTTCCCTTCTTTCCAGACTCTGCATTCTGGAGAAATGGGTTTCTCGGCCCCCCGAATTCCAATCCCAGATCACATCTGGGACCTCATATGGGGTCAAAACCGAGAAGGAGCTGCAGCCTACTTCGGCAATTTTGCTGGCATGTCCGAAGTAGACAGGGCAAGGATCTGGTCGCTGAAGGCCACTGCTGGGATGGGCGAATCCAGCAGATCAGTTCCTGACCCAGCCAGGTCTAACCAACTGCTGATGATGCAGGTAA